CAAGGTAGATTGGCTCACATTTGCTTGTGATCAGCAGAAAACAAAGTGATACCATCTTCTAACCCCTCTAGGCCCACTTACATGCCCTTGACAAATTCCCTGAGTGCTGTACTTTGTCCCAGTTTAGTATCACCTATGAATTTCATAAAAATTCATCTTCCTTCCTGTTTCAGATTGTTACTAGAGATGATTATATGGGACTAATCCTAAAACCTCCCCGCTACGATAACCCACTCATCACCTACCCTTCAGTGAAATACACTAACGTTATTTTAAAAATAAGTTGTTACAGGAGCAATCGGTATGGTACCTGCACATTCACAATCCACAGTTACAGACACAAACTCATATTGTTTTTTCATTCAGATTTTTAGGCAGACAAATCCCCAAAAGGTTAAAATTTTGCTCAGCCATTTTATAACTTTTGCTCTCTTCAGCCTACCTGAGAAAACACGCTACTAGCTGCATCTTCCTATTTTTTGTCTCCAAGTCTTTTGCAGTCGAGTAGGACTCAAGAGGCTTAGGAAGCTACACTCTCACAGCAGTAAATAAGGAAAAAAGGTCACCAAGATAACAGAGACAAGCAGACAATCCACAGTGGTTGTGCTCTACTGGGAGACACAGACTGAAAAGTCTCCCCAGTTACTCTGAACAACGGGACCCAGCCATTAACAAGATTTAAGCTAGGAGCAGGTGAAAATGGTGACTCTCCATCTATTTTTTTCTCTACACACAAGATGCCAGTATTTCAAACAACAACAGCCAGATGGGTTTCATCTTGCCTGGCATCATCTCCCTTTTGTCTTTCTATCTGGAAGCATCTTTTCTCCAATTCAGAAGAAGACACAGGGTATGCTGAATAAAGTCATCGCTTAAATATGAAGGGGAAAGACACTCAGGAGGAATTGAATTTTGTGAATTGTCATTTGTTGCAAAATTTTACAGTTGAATAAGCTGCTGTAAAAGGCCAAGAAAATGTTCTTAGCCTTGTCCTTTGTATAGGCCCTCCCAGGATTGGTTTAAAAACCAGTCGTGCAGATCATGTAAGAAAATAAAAGAAAAAAAACAGTGATTAATTAGTAACACGTGTGCTGAGCATAGGGAAATGAGATTAGAATTAGGATTGTTTGAATTTTACTTATTGCTTAAGTCTTACATAACTTTGTGCCTTATAAGTACTTGATGTAAGAAGTTCTCAGACTTGTAACCATATAGGACTAGAGGAAAAGATAATTTTGTAGACAATGACCTGAAACCAAAACCAATACCAAGAACTGGAACCAGAAAAGACGAACCTAGCTGAATAAGGGGATTATAAGTGGACTTAATAAGGTTGAGTGAAGATTTACAAAGACTTTGGACTCTGTGTATTGAGGAAGAAAAGGTATAAAACCTGCAAGGACTTGGAATTCTGTTGCCATACACTTGAGGTGTTGGCCCAACTCTGAGTTGTTAATAAAGCAAACCTGGAGATACCCACATCTGTGTCAAGTGATTTATCTCCTTGAACACATTAGAAATGGCAACAAATATGGAAGACTATTTCCTAACTGTGTGTTTCCTAACATCTGCAAAATAACAGTGTCATATAAAAGGTAATCCAGCCAAATCTTAGAGTGTGGGGTCTAATCTACTTTTGTGATACATAATTTATTTCTGCACGGAAGTCTTACTGAAACTAGCTTGCTGTTACATTAGGAAGATTTGTATAAAAGTCCACAGCTCTTTTGAATACTCCACTAAAATGCACTTGGCAGAAAAGTACGAAAACAACAAAGGTCAAAGTTTGAGGCTTGATTAGCATAATATCCTTGACACAAAAATTCTACTGTTGTAGACTATGGTAAAACATATGTTGATTAAAGCCTGGGTTGTAGCGACACTGTTTAATTTAGGATTAGCTATACTGCACTAGTCTTCCAAGGGGGACCATTAGCTTCATTGTGAAGCCTAGTTACCTTGTACAAACAATGCATGCCTCGCTAACAACTGTGTCCTTGAGAAGGAACTACAAGACTGACAAAAAGGCAACATCCTGCCCTGGAAAAGTGCGGAAAGATAGATAATCACCAAATAAGCATGAAGTTAACAAAATCTGTGGTAACTGGGAGAAAGGTAAATGTGGCAGGAGGACCACCGTCTCCATTCAAGATAGAAAAGACTCAGACACAGACTCACCCCCCCACCCCTGTCAGGAGCATGCATGCTAATTTACATGGGAAGTGAGGCTAATTTAAATAGAACTAAACAAGAGCAGAAGGGACGGTAATTATGATTACAATGAGCATAAATTTAGGCAGGTTTTTATTAATCATGTAAGAAGATAAATACTTTGTAACTCCTGTGTATGGCATGCTAGCTTAGTGGAATTACCACCTAGCACCCATCTTTGCACAGACATGAAATCAACATATCTATCTCGTCTCTGTGTGCAAGATTGGCTCTTCACATGCTGGGTGTCAGCCCCCGTTTGTGGGACAGTTCCTGGTGACCCAGATGGGATGGCCACAATGACTTGCCTGGATCGTCTGAATGGTTCCAGAGACGGGAACTGTTGGTCTGGACTCCAGCATACAGACCCACTTGGTCACAGGATTTTCTGCCACCCTTCTGTGGCACCAGGACAACCAGTGACTCGAAAGTGCAGCGCCTAACAGAGGTATTTCTGGGAAAAGGGAAGAGAACTTGGAGATTGGGGTCAAGGTGCTGGGGTTTTTTTGGGTCACAAACGGTTATACGTGTAGACGCTCGTGAGGAGGGGCGCTCACATCTTTACTGAGAGGGGGTCAGAGCAAGTGCACTAAGCGGCCCTGCATCAGTCAAGTCGGCGTAACTTGCCGCAGAGGCATGTAAGTTTCAATACTCAAAATGCGTGAGGAGGAAGAGGGCCTTCCTCATCTTTGCTAACCTACAGCGGGGGTTGGAGGGGAGCATTTGAAACTAATCAGTAACTACTGACCAGGGAGGTTGCAGTAAAACAGAACAATGGGTACAGCATCCTCTACCGCGACTTCTCCTTCTACTCGCCTGAGGTGCATCTTGAAAAACTGGAATAAGTTTGGGGGGGATCCTATAACCAAAGAGAAAATGAAAAGATACTGTGATCAAGTGGCGGCCACAACATTCTTTGGGTGACGGGGAAAAATGGCCTGAAA